GGCCCCTCCTGAGGAGTCAGCGAGGAGTCAGCTACAGAACAGGGATACAGAACAGGACCGTCTCCTCCTGAGCAGTCAGCTACGGTACAGGACAGTCTCCTCCTGAGGAGTCAGAGAGGAGTCAGCTACAGAACAGCGCTACAGAACAGGACCGTCTCCTCCTGAGGACTCAGCTATGGAACAGAACAGTCTCCTCCTGAGGAGTCAGCTACTGAACAGGACTGTCTCCTCCTGAGGAGTCAGCGAGGAGTCAGCTACTGAACAGGGCTACAGAAGAGGACCGTCTCCTCCTGAGGAGTCAGCTACAGAACAGGGCTACAGAACAGGACCGTCTCCTCCTGAGGAGTCAGCTACGGAACAGGACCGTCTCCTCCTGAGGAGTCAGCTACGGAACAGGACCGTCTCCTCCTGAGGAGTCAGCTACGGAACAGGACCGTCTCCTCCTGAGGAGTCAGCTACGGAACAGGACCGTCTCCTCCTGAGGAGTCAGCTACGGAACAGGACCGTCTCCTCCTGAGGAGTCAGCTACGGAACAGGACCGTCTCCTCCTGAGGAGTCAGCTACGGAACAGGACCGTCTCCTCCTGAGGAGTCAGCTACGGAACAGGACCGTCTCCTCCTGAGGAGTCAGCTACGGAACAGGACCGTCTCCTCCTGAGGAGTCAGCTACGGAACAGGACCGTCTCCTCCTGAGGAGTCAGCTACGGAACAGGACCGTCTCCTCCTGAGGAGTCAGCTACGGAACAGGACCGTCTCCTCCTGAGGAGTCAGCTACGGAACAGGACCGTCTCCTCCTGAGGAGTCAGCTACGGAACAGGACCGTCTCCTCCTGAGGAGTCAGCTACGGAACAGGACCGTCTCGTCCTGAGGAGTCAGCTACAGAACAGCGCTACAGAACAGGACCGTCTCCTCCTGAGGAGTCAACGAGTAGTCAGCTACAGAACAGGGCTACAGAACAGGACCGTCTCGTCCTGAGGAGTCAGCTACGGAACAGGACCGTCTGCTCCTGAGGACTGCTCAGGAATGGCAGCAGGTTGGTGTGAGAGCATCTGCACGCACAGTGAGGCCTAGACTTTTGGACAACGGCCTGGTGTCAAGAAGGGCATCAAAGAAAACACTTCTCTCCAAAAAAAACATCAAGGACAGACTGAAATTCTGCAGGAAGTACAAGGATTGGACAGCAGAAGACTGGTGCAAAGTTATTTTCTCTGATGAAGCTCCCTTCCGACTGTTTGGTACATCTGGAACATTGATTGTTCGGAGAAGAAAAGGTGAACGCTACCATGAGTCCTGTGTTGTGCCAACAGTGAAGCATCCTGAGACCATCCATGTGTGGGGTTGCTTTTCAACCGAGGGAGTGGGCTCTCTCATAATTCTGCACAAAAACACTTCCATGAATAAAAAATGGTATCAAAACGTCCTGCAAGACGACTTCTTCCAACGATCCATGAGCAATTTGGTGATGATCCGTGCACAAGCAGAAGCCCACAAATTGTGATCAACTCCGAGAACTAATAAGGCAAGAATGGATCGCCATCAGTCAGGATTTGGCCCAGAAGCTAATATCCAGCATGCCAGAGAGAATTGCAGAGGTTATGAAGAACAAGGGTCAACACTTTCTTTGCCAAAAAAAGCCTTTAAAACTTATGATATGCTTATCATTGTTTTTCAGTATACCATAGAAGCATGTGGACAAATAATCTACGAATACTGAAGCAGCAAACTTGCAAAAAACAAACTTTATGTCACTGCCAAAACTTTTGACCATGACTGTACTATAAGTGGTTAAGAAATGTGTTCATGACTATGAAGGACAGTTTGATTATCAAGAATATGTATTTTATGACAATAGTTGATAGTGTTTAGTTGTCAGCATTTAAATGTACAATTATTTGTCTAGTTACTCTCCTGGGATTACCAGGCTCGGCATATAAAACTAGTATATGCTGTTAAATAATATGAAACTGTATGTTAATGCCGCTATCATTATGTATGTACGGTGTTGCAATTATTTAGTTTCTCAGTTTCTGAACAGAACGAGACAGGAGAATGAGCTTCACCGGAAGTTTATCAGCTGGCTTATCTTTTAGCAGAAGTAATTAAAATAAATAAATAAACAAACAAACAAACAAATATGCGGAAGTTCTAAAGTCAAGTTCTCTATAGTCAATTTCTCCATTCTAATCTTCAGATATTATTATTATTATTATTATTATTATTATTATTACTGTTACTGTTATTGTTGAGGATGATGTTCGTGATATTTTATGAGGCGTGCTTTTAGTTTGAAGGGCGTGCGCGCTGTTCTGCGGTCACGTGATCAGTCGGTCCGGCGACAGTGTAGCTGATGAGCCGCTTAATAGAGATACATAACAGATAAATAAGAGATCAGTGAAAGTGTGAAGGTCCTTTCGTTTGTTTGCCTGTCGGGGGTGTTTTACAGCGGAAGTGCTTTACAGCGCGATGTTGACATCCTGTCTGCTAATGGCTACAGAGACGAGACACGGATCAGATCAAACGAACGATTTGAACAGGTTTAACTTGTAAAAAATAATCGACGGTCTTATAGACTGAAAGATGATACATGTCACGCTGTTTTGATAAAGTCTCCGTGAAATATCCACTGTGATTGATGCAGAAAGCCGCTTAGCATTAGCTTTAGCCGCTCATGTGACTAGCTTCATAAACAGTTCATGACGGTCAGTGATGAGACACAGCATATAGAGCTCACTGCACACACTCACACTCTCACACACACACTCACACACGCACGCACACTCTCACTTTCACACACACACACTCACACTCTCTCACACACACACA